GGTACCCATGTGCCGATATACACAGGTAACTTCATGTATTAACACCTACCTTGATATAAAAAATTTTTCCAATTTAAATATTTTATCATCAATAATGATTATTAAAGGGTAATATATTTCAAATTAAATTAAATTATCAATTTAAAAAATTTTCCTCTATATTATAAAGAATTTTAAACTCACACTTCCAATTGGAGAATATTAAAGGAGAAAATGAGATAAACACTAATAACAGGACTGTAAGTCCTTCTTTTGTAATATTCTGTGTATCCATAAATATACACATACACACATATCCGTACACATACACACATACATATACATACATATCCATATATATACATATATTCACATATACACATACACACACACACATATATATGCATATATATATATACATGTATATACTCATACATACACACATACCCATGTAGATATACACACACATAGATACATACATACACATGTACATATACACACACATATACCCACATATATACACACACATATATATATATATATATATATATACACATACATATACACATATATACACATACATATACATATACACACATATACACATACACACAAATATATACATATACATATATACACCCACATGTGCGTGCATGCAAAAAACATATCAAAATCCATACTTAATTAGATTATTATATCTATATTCTCCCATATTATATATATAAACTCACAACTTCTTTTATTTATACATACATACATACACTATCTATGGAACGACATACATGTACCCATCTATATATACACACCCAGACTCACACATACATATATAGAAATTATAAAAAATTGAATACATCCACATCCGCACATATACATGTACCCACATACCCACACATACACATATATACACACATATATACATATAACTACATATATTAAAAAAAAACAAAAAACAGATCACCTATATACATACAAGTATATATACATACATATCTATAACCATACCCACCCACTCCAAAAATGTGCCCACAATGCAAAAAATAACACATGCACCCTATCTTTCCATATAAACGCATATACATATACATATCAAAAGACGTATCAATGTTCAAGTTCAATTACATAGTTATATACATACAAATACGTGTTTGCACTTATGTGTGCATAGCAACATTTCCAAAAACAAAAAACCAAGATCATGTAATATTAGTCTTCCTATATAGTTATTCCTAAATATATTTAGTTAGATTTAGGTTGTTCTTATGTCGGCATTTAAAAATTAGTTAATTATGTTTGTTTAGTAATAAATCCGGATCTTTATGTTTTCTTATGAGGATTTTTTCTTTTATGCATAAGTCGCATCTGTCTCTGAAATTTATTGGAGTTCTGGCTCTCGAGATTATCTTCAACTTTATTTGTGGGGTTAAGCCACCATCCAACAAATCCCAATAATGCTTTGACAGTGCCGTTTGGTTCTTTTTACATTTATCTTTGAAGGACTGGCGATGGTTATAAAGTCGATGTTTCCATCTTCCCGTTGATATTCCTATGTATATCCTTTTCTGCTCAAAATTCTCTTTGGGGAAAATTGTTGCCTCATAAATTACATTTTCTGTTATGCATACTCCTTTAACTGGGCAATCTGATCCTGTCCTGCAATTACATGTTGATGCTTTCATTTGGGTTGCATTACGATCCATTTGTATTGAATTGTCATGAAAATCTCTCAAAAAATTTTACTATTATGTGGGCTAATAATTTTTTCAATATTGTTCATGCAAGATATATATATATATATATATATATATATATATATATATATATATATATAACATAATTAACCTCCTAGAATGCACACTATGCCAGAAACAATATATAGGAAAATCTGAATGGCCCTTTCACTACAAAATTAATACGCAATCGAATTAAGTCGACTCGTCATGAAAAATTATTACCCGTAGAACATTTCCACCTAGAAAAACATGATTTCAAAACCCATGCCAAATTCACTATAATTGAGAGAATAGAAAAGTCCGGAGCAGATAACATTAGAAAGATTTTAGAGTCCCATGAAAATAAGTGGATACAACGTTTAAAAAAAACGCTTCATTATCTATTTTAAAAAAAATTATATTTGGGTTCATTTGTAAATTCTTTTTTAATTTCAAAATTATATTAAAAACTAGCAGTAGAGCCCGGCGTTGCCCGGGAATATAACAGTAAGAGATAGATCTAGTATCCACCATCATAAAGACTGAAAAATAAAATTGACAAAGATTATTGTTTAAGGTTGACGAACACGCATGTCTTAATTATTTTTTTTTTACGAATTGGATACCATGTGTATTTAAAAAAAATTTCCCGTTCCGGTTATTATTTTTAGTTAGGACTTGTGTATGTTTAGATTTCATTATCTTTCCCTAAAGATAAAGAATTTATCCGATGATTGTATTCGTACAATCAGTAGAGATCGTTAGATTATTGTTTAAGGTTGACGGACATGCATGTCTTAATTAGTTTTTTTTTTTTTTTTTTTTGAATTGGTCAAACCCAAACTCAAACAAAACATTGTTTTCAATCGTTATGAGTCTCCGATTGAATAGAATTTTATTATAAATAATTGACTTGTAAATGGAATTTTTAAAGCATTCTGAATATTAAAAATAAAAAAAAAAAGTGTGCAAGAGAATAAGAAACACTACCTGCCAAAAAAAAAAAAAGGGAATTTTTGTTTTATCGACTGAAAAATATAGGAAATCCGCTCCCAATATTTAAAGGAACCCACACACACAAACAACCCGATGTGATTTGTGTCCCTTCCATGTCTCTTAATCGTGTTTTCAAATTGATTTTGTGTTAGAACCACCACAAGATAATTTTATGTAGTCCTGTGAAGTTTTGTTGAAATCGGTTGAAAAATGTAAGAAATCCGATCCAATATATAAACGTTACAGACACACACACACAATCTGCGTTTTATAATAGGTAAGATTTGTTTTTTCTAATACTCCCAATTTGTTGTTATAAGGTTAATATTCCTGGATTTTTTAAAATACAACTCGCCTCTAAGGTAGATACTTACCGCCTTCCTTGACCCCTGTCTTGTGCCTCTCGTCTTACTGAAACATTGAAAAGTGTAAACTCTATATTATGTGTTTTCGGTAAGTTGAATTTTAGGTTGAGCCTTTACCTTCCAATATCATTTCTTCACAGTTAAATGCTACTTACTGCTTCCTCTAAATATATAGACGTGAACTTCATTCCACATAGGGGACGAAAAGACATGACCATTTTCATCGTTTGCCGAAATAGCCTATTCCCCATACGAGGTGAAAGGAATTGTGTGATTTTATATATATATATATATAATAAAGAATTATCGCATATGGTGGGAGGGATCTATCGCAACGGACGAAACTACGTCAGTTTTATTCAAGAATTAGAAAATTTAACTTTGACAGCTATCGAAAAATTGATCCATCTCAATGTTTCAGTCAGACAAAAGGCACGAGACAGTGGGTAGGTGGAAGGTATTAGCCTTAAAGGGAAGAAGTTTTATAAAATGAAACGCAGATATTAACCTTATGACATTAAATTGGGGTATATGAAGAATGAGGTGTTAAATTGAAACTAAAAGAGGACCGAAAAGGAAGAAATCATACATATATATATATATAATTATCTTTTTTAAAATATGATTCCTTTGCTACATAAGAGTTCTCATGTTTCAAAAACAAGAGCCAAAAACCTCAATATAATTATTGAAATTAATATAATTATTGAGATTAAATTGAATTAAAGTATCAAGGCCTGTTTCATCCTCAAGCGAAGATTTATGAAAAATAATATAATATGTATATAAACTCTATAAGAAACCTAATCTTTTATATATATATATATATATATATATATATATATATATATATATATATATATATTTATATTATATATATATATGATATAATGGAATATGCATACAGCTGTGTTCCCCCTCACTGGAATATATGATTAGCTGGTGTCCGTCATAAATACCGACGGACGTGTAGGTACGAGAGTCCAAAGAGCCTTAGTCTGAGAGCTAAGTCTATAACGACGCCCATTGGACTACCCCATTGATCTACACTTCTTACCTGCAACTACGACGCGTACCAGTCGATTACTGCTACCGTATTCTACTTGGTTATAGTAGCCAAAACCACTTAGCTACTTCGTTCAAATATATCCCTTTCCGGGACATATCAATATATATAAAAGATTAGGATCCTACTTAAAAAATAATAAATTATACTTAACAGTAAGATATATTAAAATGATTAAAAATAAGTCATATTTAGATAATTAATACTAAATTTAAGTTGGAATATATTTAAAAATAATTTATATTAAAGAATAAAAAATATATTTAAAAATAAAAATATGATAAGTTGAAATAAATTATGTATTTTTAACTTTAAAAATAAGTTAAACTAATGAATATTATATTTAAAAAAACAAACCATACAAAGTTATATTTAAAAAAACTAAAAAACTTTCTAAAAAAAAATAGATAAATTAAGAATGTAAGTGATAAAAGAAAAGAGAGTTCTTAGAACAGGGGAGAATTATAAGATATAATTAATATAATTAATTATAAGATATATCAATAATTAATATAAAAAATGGAACTATAGAAATTAGAAATAGTTATAGATTCGACATTTGAAGAGTTAGAGAATTAAAAAGTAATAAAGTAAAATCTATATTATAGAAATTTAAATTTGTTTTTATGTTGATATTTTAAAACTAATTCATTCCTTTCATTTTATATTTTGCTTTGATTATTGAATTTTATTATCCTAATTTTTCTTCTAAACACAAGTTACATACATACATACATACATACACACACACACACACACACACACACACACACACATATACAGGATTAATACAAATGTAAAATGTATCATTTAGGTGACTGATGTTATATTCAGCATCTCTACTCCGGAGATCTGCAGGCGAACCTTTGTGTAATTGTTTGGTAGGGATATCTATCTATCTATCTATCTATCTATCTATCTATCTATCTATCTATCTATCTATCTATCTCAGTCTGTTCATTATCTATCTATCTATCTATCTATCTATCTATCTATCTATCTATCTATCTAAGGTGTTCCAATAACTTGGACCGATTTTAAATGTGAATTAAGTTTAAGCGTCTAATAATTTTTTTCTTTTTCTTTCAGATTTAACAACTTAAGCCTTTCGCAATTTCAACCATATCAAATAGATAGACATTTCAAAACTAACTCATTCCTTTGATTTAATAGTTTCATTTGCTTATTGAATTTTATTATTCTAATTTTTTCTTCTAAACACAAGTCACACACATATTTCTAACACTATTAGGAATATGAGTAAAACCTATAATTTTCCAGTCTATCTGATGGGTCAGACCTTTCTCCTTCGATTCCCAAATTTTTTTGAAAGAGGTATTTTAATTTAGGGTTGGTAAAAGAGTGCCTATGGGTATAAACCTTTGTTTCCATTCCCCTGTGAAAATTCCAATGTAAACATTATAATTTAACATTTTCTTTGGGGGAAATGGTTGCTTGGTATATGTTGTATCCTAGAAAAGGTTACTGAATGAGGAATAACTAAAACGGAGGTTGGAAATGAAATGGTAATCTTTATAACATCAACAAAATACAATACTTGCCAGCTATTTATTGACAATTATATTATTTTGAAGCGTACGATGCCGCGAAGCGAGAGTTCTTGTTCAAATCAATAAATTATCGAAAGCCCTTGGCTCGTCAATTCCATCTGACAACAACTCAAATATAAGAATCATATTATTCAAGGAATTGATAGCAAGTTAATGACTCATTAAGCCTTGTTAGCGAAACGATTTCAACATTAATCACATTAACATTGTAAATTAATTCTTTGTATAAATTACTTCTTTATGATAAAATATATAAGATACACACTTATCTATCTATCTATCTATCTATCTATCTATCTATCTATCTATGTGTGTGTGTGTGTGCGTGTGTAAATTTATCCATTTCAATGTTTCACCGCTTCCACCCTCACTTGACCACTGTCTTGTGCATTTCGTCTGACTGAAACATTGAAATGGATAAATTCTGAATTATTTTTTTTGACAGTATTTTCTGTAGCTGTCACAGTTAAATTTCTAATTCCGACACGAACTCAGTCTATACCGGGGGTTGAATAAGATTGACGAATTTTATTTTTTCGTCCGTCGAAATAAGATTGTTCCTCGTATGAGGTGATTTGGGATTTTATTCTCTCTCTCTCCCCCCCCTCTCTCTATACATATATATATATATATATATATATGAGTTGTCTTTTAAGAACTTTATAATCTATTATTTTTCTTTCTTCCTCTCCCTTTTCTTTTCTTCACGCTTGCTTTCACTTCCCCTATTAATCTAGTCACAAAATGGTATATATATATATATATATATATATATATATATATATCTCCAAGTAGAGGATTGGTATAGACGAAATAAATTTTTATAACCAAAAATACTATTCTTAAAAGAGTGCTCAATACAGAGTAGAGCAAATATTATTTATTCAAAAATTAAAACATAAACATGTTATAACATCACTACAAAAATAGCCATTTTGTTTCAACACTTCTGGTGACTAATAAGGTGAGTATTTTTCTTCTCACTCTCTCTCTCTCTCTCTATATATATATATATATATATATATATATATAAATCTAGTTAAATTTAATGTCTAATAAACAAAGGTGAGTATTTTTACTTCTCCCTTTCTCTCTCTCTCAGTCTCTCTCTCTCTTTCTCTCTCTCTCTCTATATATATATATATATACATATATATTTGTTTTTTGTATGAATCATTCATGTAATTATAAATTGAACTGCACCTATAATCGAAATTAAAATAACTGATCCAACGTGCAACTTTCGGATAATAAGTGTGACATTCCTGTAATTATTGAACAATATAGTTCATGCCACATTGACGGAAAATCTACGAGTAAAAAAGAATTCTCTTATTACTATATTTGTACAAAAACGCACAGCCTTAAAATTTAAAATTCAAACTCAGCGTTGAGACCGCACGTTCCAAAACAATAACACATTTCTCATAGCATTTTTTCGGATTACATCTCTATTTTCGTTGTCCTCTTATTACCGAGAAGTAAAAAACAAGAACAAATCTATTTCCATACCTGAAGATGTCTGTAGGAACAGACGAAAGCTTGTAAAAACTAAAAAAGACCTTATGCAACTGGAATTTATAAACAGGGTTCATATCATTCATATACAGGTTCGGGGTTAGTGTATCTTATTGAAATTGTGTGCGAAGATGTATTCTCGCCATTTAAATCATTAACCTCTATATTTGTTTTTTTTGCATGAATGATTCATGTAATTATAAATTAAAATTGCACCTATAATTGAAATATATATATATACATATATATATGTATATATATATATATATAGAGAGAGAGAGAGAGAGAGAGAGAGAGAGAGAAATATATATATATACGAGGAGTTGCCGAAATTTTCTACTGCGCATGTATAGTTGTACCAACATAACAAATTTAGTCTGTTGAAATCCTTATGACTGAAACGCGTCACAAGTAAACTTTTTTTCCACTTTGTCATATAAACAAAATACTTATAAACATTTATATATATATATATACTTTACATATATAAGTTTTTATTTACGTTTTTGTTGTTTTTAGCACAAGGTTTTGACTGATGTTCTCTGCTCCTACTTCAGGTATTCAGTAACGTTTAGTAAAATAATGGTATTAAAAACACGACTTATACACGAGTGAACGCGGCTTCCCTGTTAATGCCGTTTCAATATTGACCGTCATTTCGTCTTTTTTTTTTTATCGATCTTTGCGAAATGATGTCGTTTTTTCCCTCTTTTTTGCTAACCTCTAATTTTTCTCCTACCAACTGTTAGCATTCAATAAGGCTTTGATTTCTTGACAATGGCGATCGTCACGAAACCAGAGTAAATCATTTCAATTTATTGCGAGGGAAATAATTAAAAAAAAAAAAAATGAAAAAGGTTCGTTTCTGGCGAATGATATCTCACGAAAAGGTTTGCTTTGGTTAAGAAAGAATAAAAAAATAAATAAATAAATGAAAAAGAATTCACAAAAAAAAAAAAAAATGTAAAATTACGAATATTCAAATAAGAAGGTTTTGATTAAATGATTCATATTATTCGGACTGTTATCATTATTGCCATATTCACAACGTTCCGGCCGTTGTAAACTCCGGCCTTATTCAGGTGATTGGATCTCTGAGATGAGGTATTATGATTACTTGCATTATTTACACTATTCGGACTGTTATCCTCATCTTCATTGCCATATTCACAACGTTTCATCTGTTGTACGCTCCGGCCTTCATCGGGTGATTGGATCTCTGATATGAGGTATTATGATTACTTGCATTATTTACATTATTTGGACTGTTATCCTCATCTTCATTTCAATATTCACAACTTTTCAGTCGTTGTACGCTCCGGCCTTTATCAGGTGATTGGATCTCTGAGATGAGGTATTATGATTACGTGCATTATTTACATTATTCGGACTGTTATCCTCATCTTCATTGCCATACATTTTTTTTTACCAAAGTCATTTCTGTACAGCAAAAACAGTAGCTAACCAAGAAAAAAGTAAAGTCATTTTCAGATTCAGCGCCCCTCAAATTAGTTAAAAAAGATGTTTGGTGTCTTGACACCATTTCAAAAATTACTTTTTGTTGACCAGTGTAATCAAAAAAATGATAACACTGGAATTGAGAAGTCGCTTTTCCTGAAAAAATAAAACAAACTGTTTTACTATATACATTATTCGGACTATTGTCCTCATTTTTGTCGCCATATTTATTACAACGTTTCCGACGTTGTACGCTCCGGCCTTCTTCAGGCGATTGGAATGTCGAACTGAACCCTTTATTTCACTCACTGGGGTAGACTGTTCTAGTTCCACGTGCCATGTTTTAATGGATATCAGTTATCTCCTGTTAATTCCCCTCTCCAAGTTCTCCACTGCCTTAGCCAGGTATTGAACTCACACTCTTTGGGTTATGTCACTGGATTTAACTAACGCCTTTATCTACTGTGCGATGTGTCCTTGAGGATATCTGTGCTTGAATTTCTGGGTATTATAAACCTAATGTCATTTGCAACCGTTTTTTACCAGTGCTCATATTGTAATTTTTTGCTGTTATCATTGTATGTTTTTACCAGAAACAATGAATGCCAACTGTTTCTTTATAAGGAAAACGGCGAATTTCAATATTACAGTTAGCGTTTTAACTGTTTTAATTTCTAAAAGGTAAGTTACTTCGGTCGTGTAATGTGCTGATATGGCGCAAATTTCGATATTATTAAGTAGGGTAGGTTCAGGATACACTTACGGCCATGTTTGCATATTCATAGGCCTACTTCCTGACACCGCACTTTTTTTTTTTTACATGAATCATTAGCCTGTTTGATGATACCTTTTCAGCTCTCCAGTCTTGTCCCCGAGTGATCGATGCATTTATTTGCGTGACAGAGTTACGTGATCAAATCAATTTGTCCGATCATGCTGAAAAAGTACCTGAAATCCCCCCCCCCAACGTCGCTTGTCATGAGAAATGTAAAATCCAAGCCCTCTCCCACCAATGAATAAATAATACTGAATTATATAAAATAAATAAATAAAATAGCTTTTAACGTGGCCGATTTGGCGAATGTATCACGCCAAGTGAAAAAAAGAAGAAAAAAACAAGGAAAAGAGAAAAAAAAAACTGAGTTTTTACACGCAAACAAAACAAAGGGTCGAGAAATGGCAGCCATGTTGTTATTTTACAAACTATTTTTTCCAGCTCGCAATATATTTTGTTTTTATTTTGATATGGAACCAAAATTGGATAAAAAAAATAAACTGCCGATCGATCTGTGGATGCTGATGGAAGGAATTTGGAACTGATAATAATATATTTGGTCTTTAGCACAATTAAAATCGTTCCAACATTGCAAAGACGCGTATAAGATAATATTGAATTTCTGACATCGGGCGATATCAAAAAAATTCGTTTTGCAAACCATTGCTAGTCTCGTGAGCTCACTACTGGATTGATAACGGCAAAAATAGACATGAGTCTATATGGTAATGATAATATTAGCCATTTCCTTATAAGGAAAAATTCGGCATTCATTGACCGAGCAGTTAGTTATCGTCGAGCTACGCTTTTCTTCCCTCGCTGGCCATAGGACTGGGATCAAAGTGTTCTCCTCGTCTACAATGGTCATGATAATATTAGCCATTTCCGTATAAGGAAACATTCGGCATTCATTGACCGAGGAGCCAGTGCTGCCAGAGTCACGCTTTTCTTCACTTTCTGGGCATCGGACCGGGATCAAAGTGTAGTATCTGTTCTCATCTATAATGGTAATGGCGCACCTCGACGTTGTGTAATGGTTAGTAAGCTTGTCTCATTAAATCATTTACGACCGAGTAGTCAGTTCGATCCACAATGCATGCTCCATACTTTCAGCCTTGTGCCACATCTAAGCTTCGCTTAGAAAAGCCCCATCTATAATGATAATATTAGCCGTTTACTTTTAAGGAACACATTCCTTCACCGAGCAGCAAGTGTTCCTCATTTTCGTTGTGGGAGTTCCCTTTTCACAGACCAGCTTGACCAGTGCTTAGAACATGTATTGATTTTTGCCGCTCGAATCTTGGAATATCTTTTGTGGTTTTCAACAATGAACTAAGTTTTAAAAATTTGATTTTTTTACGTTTTCTTCTGATTATTTCTGACTGAATTGTTGAATTGTCCTTTTCAGTTCCTTTTATAGCGGTAGGAAAATTTTCTCCCCGGAATCGATACTTCAAATATACAAATCAACCATTCGCCCTTGCATGGAGTATTACTGCCATATATGGTCTGGTGCACCTTCTGTTTACCTCGGAGTTCTTGACAAGATCCAGAGACGGA